AAATGCAAATTAAAACAACAATGAAATACCACTACAAATCTACTTGAGTGCCCAAAATTCAGAACACTGTCAACGCCAAATGCTGACGTGGATGTGGAGTAACAGGAACACTCATTGATGATGGAAATGCAAAATAGTACAGCCACTTCAGAAGACAGTTTGGCAGTTTCTTACAAAACTAAACTTACTCTTAATACACTATCCAGGAATTGAGCTCCCTGACATTTACCCAAAGGAGTTGAAAACTTATGTCCATACAAAAATCTGCATAAGGATGTTTATTACAGCTTCCTTTACAATGCCAAAACCTGGAAGCAACAAAAATGTCCTTCAGTAGGTGGATGGTTAAACAAACTGCGGTACATCCAGACAAGAGAATATTATTCAGCATTAAAAAGAAATGAGCTATTAAATCATGAAAAGACATGGAGAAACCTTAAATATATATTACTGAGTGAGAGAGAACATTCTAAAAAGGCTACATACTGTATGATTCCAATTCTGTGAGACTCTGGAAATAGCAAAACCATTTAAAAAAAAGAAACAACAAAAAGATAAATGATTGCCAGTGGTTAGGGATGGGGGAGGAATTGATGTATGAACTGCAGAGGATTTTTAGGACAGTGAAATTACTTTGTATGATACTGTGATGGTGGCTAAATATCATTACACATTCATCCAACCCAGAGAATGTCCAACATCAGGAGTGAGCCCTAAAGTAAACTATGGGCTTTGGCTGATGATGTTTCAATGATAATGATGGTTTAATATAGGTTCATCACTTGTAACAAATGTACCAGTCTCAGGGAGCACACGAATAGTGGAAAATGGGTGGGCGCCTGAGTGGCTCAGTCAGTTAAGTGTCTGCCTTAAGCTCAGGTCGTGATCCCAGGGTCCTGGGATTGAGTCCAGCATCGGGCTCCCTGCTCAGCGGGGAGTCTACTTCTCCCTCTCCCTCTGCCCCTCCCCCCTGCTCGTGCTCACTCTCTCATAAATAAATAAAATCTTTAAAAAAAATAGTGGGAAATGCTACACAAAACAGGGGCAGGGGTATATGTGAAATATCTGTATGTTCTGCTCACTTTTGCAGTGACCCTAAAACTGCTCTAAACAAGCCTATTATGAAATCATTAAGTGAATTAATATATTACATTAGAAAATATCCAGTTGATACAAAAGATACCCATAAAAAAGGAATGGAGGGGAAAAAAATCAAGATCAATAGCACCTCTAAGCACAAACCTGGTTCTGCATGTTCAAGAGTGTGCACTGGGGCTAAAGAGTTTAAAACCCTACAGAATGATTTAATATGCAAGAGACTGAAGCCAAAGTAATACTGGAATTTAGAGCCCAGAACTTCACCCTTATGTCAGACAGAGGTTCAAAGTACATATTCTGTGTCTGAAACTCTCCACTTTTGGTTTAGGAAGACTAGATTTTTTTTTATTATTCTTATATTGGCCTATTTTATCTTTCAGAACTAAATTGGTTACTACTTTTTTTTAAGTGTCTCTAGTTATTGTTTGCTATGTCATATCATGCCTGGAAAAGACAGAGCATAATGATATACACAGGGTAACAATAAAATGTACCTAAGTAGTTCACTGATGCCAAGTTAACATTTTTTTCTTATACACAAAAACCACAGAAACAAGCTGATTAGTGAGAAAAGCTGCTGGTTGTCTTTTTCCAGCCAGTCAAACTTCGAAAAAAATAACACCTGGGAAGATTTTAATTGGTGTGATATGAACTGGACACGCCCAAATTACTAGCAGCATTGTACACATCTGTTACAGTCAGGATCCTTTGGCATGTGAAGCAAAAGTAAGAAGACTTAGGAAGTTAACAAAGGAAATAGAGCCAGAAATAAGCTTTACTTATTTCATAGATTGCCAAGATTAATCCTAAATTCTATCAAGCTTTTGAATAATTAACTAAATCTCTCTGAAACTTCATCCAATATACATTCCTAAAAGAAGATCAAAACACACATAATTATGCTTTATAAATCATACTAGTGCTAATTTTAAACCAAGATAATAAAAGTATAATTTGAGTTAGAGTCTCTACATTTTCTGATAACAATTCAAAATAAATCTTGAGTAAAGTCGAGAAGTATTACATCTAATGCTTCTCTTTGATATATCAAGTTTGTTACTGCCATATAAGAAAATTTGATAAGGCTGACAGAACTTATTCTTCACGCAGGTATGTTTATTTATAAAAACCACAGTATTTCAGGACTGAAAGAGGCTTTGAAGATCATTTACTGTAATTGTCATTCTTCTCTAAGGAGGACAAATGATTTTTTAAACTGTATAAATGTAAGCACCACATATTTTTATTTGGGAATCAGTGGGAAAATAATGCCACTTTTGACTTATTCAATATAATCACAGACTGTCCAATGCAATAGATAGATTCCACCATTATTTTTAAAGACATGTACTAAAGAGAACTTGAACCCAGCATTAGTCTAAGAAAGTGCAAGTCAGTACTACCTTAATTCTGATGCTAAATTTAAATATTTTAGGTTGATATTTTAGATTGAGACACATAATAGTCATCATTAGTAATCAAATACATTAAAAGCTCATAATTATTCCCCTTTTAAAATTCCATATTCTTTTGGCTCACATACATAATTTAAAATATATTGTTTTAAGATTTTATTTATTCATTTGACAGAGAGAAACACAGCGAGAGAGGGAACACAAGCAGGGGGAGTGGGAGAGGGAGAAGCAGGCTTCCCGCTGAGCAGGAAGCCTGATGTGGGGCTCGATCCCAGGACCCTGGGATCATGACCTGAGCCGAAGGCAGACGCTTAACAACTGAGCCACCCAGGCGCCCCCATAATTGAAAATATCTTTGATTTTAGTTTCTTTCCTCCTTTTTATTTTATTTATTTTTTAAAATATTTTATTTATTTATTTGAGAGAGCCGGAGAGAAAGAGCACAAGCAGGGAGAGGATCAGAGGGAGGACAACCAGACTCCACCCTGAGCACAGAGCATGACCCTGAGATCATGACCTCAGCTGAAATCAAGAGTCTGATGCTTAACTGACTGAGCCACCCAGGTGCCCCCTTTCCTCCTTTTTAATAACCTAAAAAGTATTAATGTCCTTATAGATAGGCAAGACGGAGACATTATTTTTTATACAAAATAGCCCTGGAAATGAGGCGTGGACCAAAATGTGATATTTCTGATACAAAAGGAGGAACCCATGATAAATCAAAATATCCATATTTAAAAAAAAATGTTTCTATACAATAAATATGCTGAATTTAGGAATGTTCAATTCCTAATTTTTCCTAAGTCAGTTTACTACTTGCTTTCTTAAATGTACTATTGGCCAAAAGTAGCATTTATAACTCATTAGAAAAAATGTTTCATGAACAAAAATATATCTAAAATTCAATTTTTGCAAGCAAGAAAAAAATATATATTTGGCTAAATATGGATTAAACACTGTATTTTTAAAAAGTGATGAATAAAATATAAAAATAAGCACTGGAAAGAAATTTGGAACAAATTTAGTAAAGGGCTATAATCTCACCAAATTTAAGAAGTTTATTAGAGAATCTCAGTATTTGAAGCATAACTTTGTCTCTAATGATATTTACTTTTCTTCTAATAAAAGAACTTTCTGAATTGGTTCTATGCTACACCTCACTTTTCTATTACACAGTGACTCCCTCAAAGGATATCTTAGCCAGATTTTTCTTCACCATATTTTTATTAACAGTCACATTAAGGACTTTGCAACTCAGACTCATTCTTTTTAGAATTTTAACTTTCCATTTAATTCAGAAATGTTCTCTTCCTGGCAACATATCCCTCACTACATTTATGGCTCTGTAGGCTTGAAATGCAAGTATTTCTCTCAAACACTACCTCTTCTATTATAATCCACTGTTTCACTAAGAGAAAAGCCAGGCAAGGCTGCAAACCTCTCTCTGTTGTTTGTGACTCTCTCTTGTAGGGCAGTAGGGATTCCTTACTGAAGGAGATCTAAAGCTGCTCTGACCCACCTACCACAGTTCCTCTTGTGTGGGTGTCTTAGTCAGTTTGGGCTGCCATAACAAATATCATAGGCTGGATGGCCCAGACAACAAGCATTTATATTTCAGTTTGGGATGCTGGGAAGTCCAACATCAAGGTGCCAACAGATTCAATGTCTGGTAAGATCCCTCTTTCCTGTTTGCAGAAAGCTGCCTCCTTGTATCCTCATATGGGGGAGAGAGAGAGATCATCTCTCTCATGTCTCTTCTTATAAAGGCACTAATCCTACTCATGAGGGCTCCACTTTAGTGACTTAATCACCTCTCAAAGGTCCCACTTCCAAATAGCAACACATTGGGGTTTAGGGCTTCGATATATGGATTTTGTGGGACACAAACATTCAGTCCATAACAGCTGACATCTCTTACTTAATGGGTTCTCAGAGACAGAAACAATTGTACAAAATGATGTAATGTCACCTACACTTTTTGTGTACACGTAAGCAGAAAATCCACACATCCCTGCCATGCCGAATATTGGAAATGTTGGCAGCTTCACTGTTGCTACCCCTTATCTCAGCCTCACCTTTCCTCTATATTTTCCACTGATAATGTGTACTACAAGTAAAGAGAAGCAAACTTGCTTCTTAAGTAGGTGTTCAATCAGGAGAACAGGACAAATGAATGTAACTTCTCACTGCATTTCTCCTTTTGGTCCTTACATTGACTGTCAGAGTAGGGCAATAAGGGTAGGGCCATGAGGAAATACAGAGAGATATGAGTAAGGCCAGTTCTGAGATCACTCTTTAAGCCATTACAGAACTATTTTTTAATAAAAAACAGGCAATAGTCTAAATGTCCAGTTAAAAGGATACATTAAGAAGTTAGAGAAACACTCATTTGAAGAAATATTATATAAAACATTAAAACGATGAAAAATTACAAATTCCAATACTATGTTATGTAAAGAAAACGATCCCAAATTGCATTAAACTCACCATGACCTGGAGGAAATTTTTTCCATTTAATGAGTGCAACTAGCTCATATATGGATAAAGTGGGCCACTCTTCATAATATGGACATTTACGAATTAATTTCACCTTTTCTTTATTTTCAAGTTTTATTTTTTCCTGAAAAAAGTCATTAAAAAAGAAAGGGAAATGTATAGCACAGATAGATAAATGGCAGTAACGGAAAACTAAAAGTTATATGAGTGTAAATTGTATAAAATACATTTGAATTTTATAGGAGCATCATTCTATGGTCACATAACCATATTGAAATTTTAGTCTTCAGATTTGCCACTAAAATTATATTTTCCCACCTTTCATAATATTTTTAGACTTCCATAAATGTTCTAGCATTTTTAAGAAATCCTGTCATAGTCAAGACCAATCTCAAAAGTTGTACTTAATAATACTGAATCATTGATACTTATATTTTGAAAATAAAACATACAGAACAATTTTTTTTTTTAAGCTAGCCACTCTGAAATCAGCGATATGGAAGGAAGTTGAATTCTGAGCAAGTCATCTGTACCACTGACACTGAGACCATTGTATCAAAAGAAACCCTCACTATTATTAGAGAGCTAAATCAAAAAGATGGTTGTCTCCTCATCTCCCTCCAACCTGAGCACACAACTGGAGGTGATGCCAGTGCCCTGTTGCCCCTGCACCAGACTTAGATCCTATCAAGAAAAGCTGGCAGAGCAAGACAATGGGGGTCTTTCAGTGCAGTCAGTTACAAAAACTTTCTCTGTCATCAGGGGAGGAGAAATCAAAAAGAGGGAAAATTTTGGAGAGTAAATTGGTAAACTTGAAGTAAATAAGTTATCTGAATGTAGCAGAATTAGGGGGTCAGAACTAAGTTGTGATCACCTATTCATGCAACTCTGGGTTTTTAATATCTATTAAAACAATGAAATAGCATACCAGTCACTCCCAAGTATTTTTTTTCCTCAGGTGGACTGTACAGATTTAGAGATCTCTCTGTATGATCGTCTGGTATCCCTAACACATGACATGTCTTTGACACCCAAAACTTATGTTTGTTGAGTGAATACATGAATAAGTGAATGTATAAATGAATGGATTTGAAATTCATGAAAAACCCAAAGTGCTAAAAATATACATAAAATATATCCATAGAGACCTTTCTTTCCACTTCAACTACCCATCACCATCAGAAGCTTAAATAATGTTCATCAAATAGACCACATTTTTATGTCTCCAAGTTAAGTTATATTTAAAAATTACAAAGATACTGATATCTGTCTAGAGGCAAAACTTAGCTTGAATTTACACAAATATTGTGTTAATATATAGATTAGATATGGTCGTACCGATTTTAACCTTGCATAATCCTTTGCAGGGATTTTAAGAATTTCACAATCTTCTTCTGTGATCACCGAATGCTCCTTTGTTTCTGATTTGGTCTGAGCTGCAACTTCCAGGGTTCCAAAGGTACTCCATTGTCGAAGCTGTAAAAAATATGGAAGTAACTTAAACTTCATTATCACTCATCAACATAAAAATACCAGTGATGGTGATGGAAACAGTCTGGAAGAGTCTGCAAAAGGGATGATGGCAGGTCAAACTCCAAGTCTGTGAAAGAAGGGGATCTAAACAGTCTTGCAAGGATGTCATACTTCTGTCCAATGTTACCTTCCCAAAGCAAGAAAAAGTTTCCATTTTTTCACTAGCATGAAAGAAATAACTTATAAGAAGAGATCTTCTGTTTTATCCACTGATTCATTTTAAGTACCTAGAATAATGCTTGGAACATAGTAGCCATTCAATAAATATTTGGTAGTAATAATGAAAATGAATATAGTGTTAAGCAGTATATAAATTACAAACATATATATGCTTGTGTATACACACACACACACACACACACAGGGTCTCCTAATTTAATATGTAAAAGATAAAAATTTAGCATCCCCCAAATGTTACACTAGAATATGTATTGTAAATTATTACGATATAATATGAATATATATAGCTACGTAGAGGATCTATATTCATGTTTGCACGGGGAAAAATATATCATAGATAATATGTATCTATGAAATTGAGAAGTTTCTTAGGGAAAACATCAGGTCTATATGGCTAAGATGATATGAGAGGACCTCCGCTCTTCCATTTCAAATCTATAGAAAGGCTAAATTGTTTTCTTTTTAGATGAATGGATAGCTGAGCTTGAATCTGCAAGTCCAGAAATAAAGAGGAATTTTAAACAGTCACTGAAACTGAAGTGGTTCACGGTGATATCAAACTAGGATAAAGGCCTAAGGGGTTGAGTTCTGGGGTTCATCATACATGTGGGAATAGGAGATGAGACCCAGGACCACGCAAAGCGAGGAACCGGAATTGAGCTCTCGTGCCTAAAGCCTAGAACCTTGGAGGATCACCTGTATGTGAAATGGAGGCAACAAAAATTCATCCCACTAGTCTAGCTGGGGAACTGGGTACAGTTGTCACAATATCAGGATCCTAGGTCTATAACTTGTGTAGGTGAAGAATAAACATTTACACATAGTACAGGACTCAAAGCTTAAAAATTACTGTATAGTCTGGTACACAACTAGTAAAACACCTAGGATCCAGGAAAGTGCAATTTTTTTTTTTTTAAGACTTTTATCCATCTATTTGTCGGGTGGGGGGAGGAAGAAGAGCACAAGCAAAGGGAGTGGCAGCCAGAGAGAGAAGCAGGCTCCCCGCTGAGCAAGGAGCCCCACAAGGGACTCGATCCCAGGACTCCGAACCCCGGGACCACGACCCCAACAGAAGGCAGACCCCCAACCGACCAAGCCACCCAGGCATCCCCAGGAAAGTGCAAATTTAAAGCCTTATGTATGAACTGAGGATAAAAGGAACTCACATAGGAAGCAATCCCTATTAATAACAAAATCACAATAAAAAATTACAAGCCTCACAAGTGACAAAACTCCTATGAGGGCAACTCAACAAAGAACTAAAAAAAAAAGAACATCCTAAAAGAAGCTATATACAATTAATATATTAGATCATATTGCATTTACATTTTGCTAAATAACAAAATTAAACTTTTATAAGTAAAAAAAAGTTATAAAAAACTCAATGGACACATTAATTAAAACTTAAGAAATAATTCACAAAATGGATAAAACATGAGAAAAGCTTTCAGAATAAAACATAAAATATAGAAGGAATTTAAAATAAGACTTTAAGAGATATAGAAGATAGATGGAGAGCATTCAGCATATATCTACTAGGATTTCCAGAAGAAACCAAAAATAATGGGAGAGGAGTAATTATCACATCAGTGATAATGGCACCAAATTTTCCAGAATAGGGAAGAGGTGAGTCTTGAAATGAAGGAATTAATACAAAACCTAGATATATATTTGTACTTTGTGTTCCTGCTCAGGTTTTGGTGTACTCTATTTATCTTTTTCCTCCAGGTCCTCCTTCGTCATCTTGTTAGCGATCAGTAAATTCAAGCAGATATTTTCTACATATATTTTTCCAGATTATCTAATTGTATTTAGGATAAGACTTGGTTTGTATTACCTAATAAACCATTATGAAAGCAGAAGTCCTCCACGACTTTGAATAATATTCTTAAGGCTTTCTTTCTTGATGTATTAACGATATCATCAAACTGCCTAATGTTATTAGGAAAGTATTACATTTCCAATATCCTTTACATACTCTATATATGTAAACATTGTTGTAAAACTGAATTACTATATAACTGAATTATTTAAATTATTAATATTTATATTTCCATTCTGTTCTATAACTATGGTCATCTTCAAAGTGCTCAGAAAAAAATAACTTTCAAACTAGAATTCTACATTTACTTAAAAAAGGAATATGGAATGAGGAAAAACAAGCATCAAGTTAATTTTTGACATCATGTGAAACAAATTCCTCAAAAAGTTGAAAATAGAGCTGCCCTACGACCCAGCAATTTCACTACTGGGTATTTACCCCAAAGATACAAATGTAGTGATCCGAAGGGGTACGTGCACCCCAATGTTTATAGCAGCAATGTCCACAATAGCCAAACTATGGAAAGAGCCAAGATGTCCATCAACAGATGAATGGATAAAGAAGATGTGGTATATATATACAATGGAATATTATGCAGCCATCAAAAGGAATGAGATCTTGCCATTTGCAACGACAATGATGGAACTGGAAGGTATTATGCTGAGCGAAATAAGTCAATCAGAAAAAGACATGTATCATATGATCTCACTGATATGAGGAATTCTTAATCTCAGGAAACAAACTGAGGGTTGCTGGAGTGGTGGGGGGTGGGAGGGATGGGGTGTCTGGGTGTTGGACATTGGGGAGGGTATGTGCTATGGTGAGTGCTGTGAATTGTGTAAGACTGTTGAATCACAGACCTGTACCTCTGAAACAAATAATACATTATATGTTAAAAACAAAAAGAAGATAGTAGGAAGGGAAAAATGAAAGGGGGGAAGTAGGAGGGAGAGATGAACCATGAGAGGCTATGGACTCTGAGAAACAAACTAAGGGTTCTAGAGAGGCGGGGCTGAGGGGATGGGTTAGCCTGGTGATGGGTATTAAAGAGGGCACATACTGAATGGAGCACTGGGTGTTATATGCAAACAATGAATCATGGAACACTACATCAAAAACTAATGATGTAATGTATGGTGATTAACATAACATAATAAAATTTAAAAATGTAAAAAAAAATTAAGAATTAAGCACAGTAAAGGATTAATGACAATACCTCATAATAAAATAGAACAATTATAATGATATACTGTAATAAAATATCTCTCAAAATAAAAAAAAGAAGAATTTTAGTTAGAACAATACTGAATACAAAGAGGAGTACAAAACACTTCATAATGGTAAATGTAAATAAAATTTATTGGCAGATAATATTTTTAAAATAACTAATATGGGGTTACTTTAAAATAACATAGATTTAAAATACTTTTACAACAGTAACTCCAAAGAGCAGGAAGACAAAAAATAGTAGTATTGAGAATCTTTATACTTTGGGACTAGGAAATAAAAAAGATTATATAGCTTTTCTTAGTTAAAATTGCAAATTTAACAATATAGAAATTGGACCTTTATGGATGGAAAAAGAAACATAATGACACAAAAATAAAGTGATAAAATTTACTATATCCCTAAAATATCTAACACCTATAATTTGATCTAAATAGGAGTAACAAAAAACAAATAATTAGAGAAAATGACAAATTATTGAAAAATAATTTCCAGAAGAGAACAACTAAATAAACCACACACAAAAGAAACATTCTCAACCCTACTAGTAGACAGAGAAATGTTTATTCATCTATCAGATTGAAAATATTGAAGTATTCTAACCTATGAGACTAGGGCAATACTTTCATGCATAACTCAAAAATATAAAATCCTTTTAAAATGGGAAATAATCTGGCAGTATTTACTAAAATAAACAAAGAATGTATGAAATGGTTTATCCAGACACCCGTCTCCTAGGATCTACCTTATAGAAAAAAGTGCATTCTTAAGTATATATTTACAAGAAGTTTAATGCTGCACATTTTAATAACTCCCACCTGGAATCTTCTTTAATGGCCATCAGTTAATGAGTGTGTATGCATGTGTGTTGTCTAAATTATTACATACTGTATAAAATTAGTGCATCTATGTATCTTATCCTTTAAGAATTCTTATAATAAAAAAAATCAGATAAAAATATATGTTGAAAATGTTTATAAACTGAACAGTTACAAAAACAATAATCTGTATAAGTTTATACAATTGTTCATATGCTTATGTGAGCTCAAAGAAAGTTGTGCAAGTGTGAACACCAGCCTATTCAGGGGAGAGGTGGAGCTCAAATGACAAAAGATGTATTACCTTTTCCTTAAAACTTATATTTTCTTTCAGTTACAACACTGAGTATGTATTAAATTTTAAGTTTTGGGCATTTTAAAAGACATTTAAGATGCAGATTCAAAACAACATTCTGTGTTATTCTCCATACCTGTGTTATCTCTCTTGATATCTTTACTGATATATGAAATATCTTAAATGATATATATTAGAAGTGTATAGTTATCTCTGAATGATGAAAGTGAGTAACTGTCATTGTCTATAACTCTCTGTATTTTCTGAAATTTTCAATAATATAGCAACTTTGAAATCTGGCAACATTTCAAAGCTATTTAAATTATGTACAAGTCAGTCTTTCTCAATTTGGGGGGAAACATTCATTAAAGCTAAGTAGATAATCCTATTTTGTGGGAGGTGGTTGTTGGAAGTACATAAAAGGAGCCATTTCTCTCACTTCTAAATTCTCATGTTTTTTTACTGAAAAATAAGTTGATAATTCCCTTTATTGGGAAATGATATATTTCTTTTAAAAAAGATTTTATTTATTTATTTGACACGGAGAGAGAGCATGAGCAGGGGGGATGTGCAAGGGGAGAGGGAGAGGGAGATGGAGGCT